GAATGGTGCTAATAACTATAGAATAAAAACGTTAAATAAAAAGCTTTCAATGTATTATATGAAAGGTATTACCCATAGTTACTAGCAATGGTTCGATAAACAATTTTCATATTATTCCATGGCCTACTGGTTGGGATAATACAAATGTAGAAGGCTAATCGTAAAGCTGTGTCATTTGTATGATTTAAAAAAATAGTTTTTGTTTCTTGATATCATTATGGTATAGTCAATGCCATAGATTTTGAATCAACCTCATATATTGTGAATCTTTGTCATCACCATTATCATTATCAAGTGGTTACAGATAATAGAGAGAAAGCCATATGTAATGGTAATAAATACTCACATGGTGAAAAATTTATGTAATGGTAACAAGACACATATTAAACCACAGTAATAGGTATAAAAGGCAAAGTAAAAGTAAAATCACTGTCATCATACCCAGTAAGCCTCCAACACTTATACTCATCATTACTGTAAAATAATTGATCATCTTTATTGTAGTAATCATCGTCATCACCATCACCATCATCATCACCATCACCATCACCATCACCATCACCATCACCATCACCATCACCACCATTACCATCAACATCTTCATCTTCGTCTTCATCTTCATTTTCATTTTCATCTTCATCTTCATCGTCATCTTCATCTTCATCACCATCATCACCATCACCATCATCATCATAATAATTTATATCTTATATATCTTCATTACCATCGTTATCATTATCACCATCATCATATCATATTATAATAATATAACTTATACATCTTTATCCATGTCATCATATTCAATAAAAAACCATAATACAGGTTTTATATTAAACCTTGATTGCTGGGTGTGGGTGTGTAGGTGTGTGGGTGTGTGGGTGTTTTATTTTATCTGTGTGTCTGCATGGTTGCATGTAAGTTTATTTATGTGTTTATCTGTGAATATAATTGATAACTAGTAAATATTCTTTTTCAAAATTTTTCAGGGTCAGATGAATCCACACGTGAATTCATCCAGCTGCGATACAAACTTCGCCACCTTTTTAATGGCCGGAAACATCAGTGCGAAAAGGCCTATAGGTCAGAACTTCAAGTAAAATTTTTATTTGGAAAAATGAATGAATAAATAAGTAAATAAAGAATTAGAATATTGAAATTTTTGTTTGGAATTCTCAAAAAATATGTAAATAAATAAGTAAATAAAGAATTAGAATATTGAATGAATTATATTTATCAGTAAATAGAGGCAAAAGAACACTTCATTATATTTTCTTATTTTCCTCTTGTTTTCTTCTTCCAGTCGTATTGTTGAGGAACTTGGGCTAACAAATATCATAACACCAACCCAGGCCAGGAAAAAATGGTCCAATCTACTTCAGAAATATATGGTAAGTATATATATCCTGGGGTTTATTTTAGGTCAGTGGTTCTTAGTCTTTTTAGAATCATGAACCCTTTAAGAACCTGATGAAAGCTGTGGACCCCAAAATATGCACATAAACACAAGTTTGTGTGCTATGTTAATTTCTTTGTTGAGATTTGATTGTCTGATATGAGATTCACAAAATATTAGTAAACTCTGATGTACACAATAACTTTTTTTTTTAATCAGATGTTAATTTTTATCTGATCCTCACAGACCCCCTGAAACCACCCATGGACCCCAGGTTTAAAAAAGACTTTAAATTTTGTAATAACATTTTTATTTCATAAGAATCACAAACATGAAATTCGCACATCACAACCACCTTTTGCAGGACATTAAGGGAGGCTACTCGACAGCCAATGCAGACTGGCCATACTTCCAAATACTAGACCAAATTGTTCCTCTTATGAGGAAAGAGAAGATCGAGAAAGTTCCTCCAGCATCCGTTGACCACAGCGACATTGAAGCAGCACAGGAGAGTCTGCAAAGCCCCTTAACCACCCCTGTTGTGGCTGCCAGAGATCCTCTTGGCGTGACGACCGTGGAATCAGTGATGGTGTCAGCCCAGCCGTCCACACCTACAGGGGACCAGTGCAAGACGGAGGCGGCAGATGGGGAGCCTCCGAGAAAGAGAGGGAGGTACGGCATACCTCAGAGTATTTCTTGGATTTTTGATGCTTATTGGTAGTGTGAGTCTGAATGTTAGCTCATTTCCTTGGTAGGGATGATATGAAATCCTGTGAGGTTATTAGATAGCATAGAGTCTAGTGTCTATTTTAAGAGTAGTTTTTAATCAGCATCCACTCATTCATTATTGATGCAAGACATTTCGACCAACTCTGGTTCATTACTCTTTTTGCTGTCATGCTAGGAGTCGCCGTGCAGCCCAGCGAGCAAGGGACAGGTGGTGGGGGGCAGTGGAGGAAGATGACCTGGGCTCTGACTCAACAAGCTCTGCAGTCAAGGGGGAAATATCCGGTCTCCGAATGTCAAGCAAGTCGTCTATGAGCGAGAGCCTGGACCCCACACAGATGGAGGTCCAGACTTTCCAGATGCTTGAGTCTTGTTCTAATGCCCTCACAGATATCAGAGAGACATTGAAGATGCATGCTGAACAACAGGAAAGCATCATGCAGGTTAGTGTGTAATAAAAGAAGTTCACCACATGTTTCTGTCTCTCTTCTTTCCTTTTCCTTTCTTACTTTCTCTTTTTCTTCCTTTCTTCTTCTTTCTTTTTTTTTCCATCTTTCTTTCTTTCTTTTATTTCTTTCTCCATTTGTTTCTCCCATCATGTGTATGAATAAATGAGGTATACTAATAACCATTCTTTTAATCCATAGAGCTTACAGCAGACAGTAGTCAGTCAGGGGAACACCATTAAGGAACTGCTGTCGACTATGACAAGCCAGAATGCAACACTGATTGCCCTCATGACACAGCTGTCAACAGGCGCTGCACCTCAGCTAGGTATTGATAATAATTCTTACTAAATCATGACGTGAAATGACATTATTTTGATCATGAGGAAATTAGTGTCTTAAAATAGATGTTGTGATTAGGTTATTAGGATTTTAAATTATAGAATATATTATATGTATATGTAATATATGATGTGCTTTTCTGAAAAGTAAACCAGATCCAGAGAACTCCATAGGATTGGACTGCATTGCAAATATACTAAAAATGTGAATAAATCTAATGTTGCATTGAGTACTTAAAAAATAACCAGATGAGATTTCTAATAAAAATTCTCCACCAGTGTTCTTTTGTTTCAAGTTGTAGGAAACAATTTTTTTTCCATCCTTTTAGTTAGTGGCTGGAAGGAAATACCACTTTTCCTTCTTCATTATTTTCCTTCAAAATCAACTTCATCATAGAATCATAATCTTCCCTCTTCTAACACTCCTCTCTCCTTTTTCCTCCTTCCCAACACCCTCCAGGCATAGCTAGCAGTAGCTTCAGCCAGCAGAAGCACCGAGAGACGCAGGCATCCCACCCCCACCAGCAGAACCAGCTCCTCTCGTCGCAACAGAACATCATCAGCGCACTTTCCCACGAGACCCAGGACTGCGAGACGTCCCTAGTCGAGAATTCGGAGCTGTCGGATGATATGACAGGCTTGTAGGGGTGTGAGATCACCTTGAGTAGGAGAGTTATCGATTTTCCTTGCCTAATATTTAGGTGTATCCTGTGGGTTATTACCCTAGTTTGTTGTTTGCATCTTGAGATTTGTTATGGAAATTCTTTGGTATTGTGTGTGGGTGAAAGTGTGAACACTAATCAGTTCACACACCAAAATAGTGAGTAACAATGTACAAAACTTGATCTGAAATAAATGCTTTATTTTGTCCCTTTTTATGCCTTGATCCTTCATATAGTTGACTCTTTCTCTCTCTCTCTGTATATTTTTTCTCAAAATAATATATTTAACAACTTTCACTCATTTCATATATTGCCAGGACTTACATATAAACATTAGAGTAACACCTTAGATTATCAAAATATATTTTCTTACAAAATAAGTACTGCTTCTTCCATTTTATGCAACCAGGGAACATCCATTACTAGAAAGACCAGTATATATATTTTTTTATTTGTAGTACAAGGGTTGATATTTTCTTATGCAGTAGATTCAGTTTTCTACAGAAGGACCATCCACATGATAGAGTACAGCCAGGCAGGCATAGGATCTTGAGAACTGAGGATCAAAGACTATACCTTGATGCTGTAATGCTTTCAGGTAGATAAAAGACAGTTAGGCATCCTTCAGAATAGTTTTGATGTTTATAAAAGAAAATTATTGCATGGAGGTCTATAATGATTTCCTGTATATGAACTCATTGGACTATGATCCTCAAGATTGTAGTCCATACGTGAGCAGAACTTCATAATGTCTATAAATACATGTGTTCAGTGTGCCAGAGTCCAGGTAGAATTACTGCAGGCTGTTAATATTCCAGTCTATAGCTCTCGTTCTCCATCTCTTCCCTAGGCTTGCCAACATCCAGTCAGTATAAATCACAGGATCTACATTACATGATCCATCTTTTGGCAGATTAATTTTCCCTCTGCCAATTCAAATGGATGCGATCTTTTGAAAATTATTTTCTCAATACAGTGAAAAAAAAGCCAGAGCAGCCAGTAAATATACTTAAAAATAAAAACTATAGTGACCATACAGAAGGCAATAATCTGCAGTTTAGTACCCGTTAATATGGATTATAAGAATTTAATCTTTTATTTCCCATAGCATTTAGAGTTTTAACTTTCATTACAGACCTGGGATTAAGAAACTAGCTGTCTTTTTGTTCTTCTTTATAAAAATAAAATGCAGGTAGAGGAATTCCTTTACTAATAACTTAATTGATAATCTGCAAGGAGTTATTGTGAGAGGCACCATTTTATAACTGCAAAATTGAAGCAAATTTTACTGAGAATCATTTGGGAATTTCCTAATTGATTTAAGCTTCGACTATAATGTTTTCACTGACTTATCCTATTATTCCTGCCTTCCAGTATTTGCTGCTGTTGTCAATCACTTCATACGAATTTTGTGGAAAATCAAAGGAAAACT